GTTAACACCCAACTAAAAGATTGTCAGATTGCATAATAAAGCAAGACCCAACTACATGCTGCCTATAAGGAAAGTACTTTAAATATAAGATACAAATAAGTTTTAAGTAAAAGAATAGTAAAGCATATACTATGTTAATACCATCCAATGGTGTTAGCTATATTAATGGTATTAGCTATATTAATATTAGACAAAGAGGATTTCAGAGCAAAGAATATTACCAAGAATCAGGAAGGCCACTTAATTATGATGAAGGAGTCGATTAAGTAAGAGAACATAGCAATCCTAATGTTCATGCACCTAAAAACAGTGCCTAAAAATACATAAAATAAAAACTAATGGAACTTCAAGGAGAAACAGACAAAACTAAGTTCTGTTATATACTTCAATACCCTTCTCTTAATAATTGATATAATAGGCAGAAAATCAACAACGATACAGTAGATTTAAATAATTCTATCAGACAACTTAACCTAACGGGCATTTAAAAATACTCTGGCCAAAATATAAATATTTTGCTATGAGTAGAAGAATATACATCCTTCTTAAGTAGACATGGAACATTTACCAAAATAAACTATATTCTGGGCTATAAAATAAGTATCAATAAATCTCAAAGGAGGCAAGGCATGCAAAGTATATTCTGGGACTACCACAGAATTAAATTAGAAATCATTAACAGAAAGAGTCCTGATAATTCCCTAATATTTGAAAAGTAAATAACATACTTCTAAACTGTCCATTTGTCAAAGAAGAAAAAGAAAATTAGAAAGTATTTTTAACTTATGAAATGAAAAGACAACATATAAAAATTTGGGAGATGACACTAACGTAGTACTTAGGGAAAATTTACAGCAGATGAAATCCATATTAGAAAAGAAGAAAAGTTGCAAAGAAATGACCTTAGCTTCTAACTTAAGAAATTAGAAAAATAGAAAATTAAACCCATGTAAGCAGAAGAAAAAAAATAATAAAAACCAAAGCAAAAATCAACAATGAGAAAATTAATAAAACCAAAAGTTTGTTGTTTGAGAGGACCAATAAAATTAACAAAAATCTAGCCAGACTGAAAAGGAAAAAGAGAAAGAAGACCCAACTTACCATATCAGGAAGGAAAGAGGTGGGATCACTAGATTCCACAGATGTTAAAAGAATAATAACTGAGTACTATGAACAACTTTATGCCAATAAATTTAACAACTTATGAGGAATTGGATAAATTCATTGAAAGATATAACTATGAAACCTTATTCAAAAAAAAAACAGATAACTCAAATAACCCACAATCTATTAAGGAAACTGAAACTCTACTTAAAAACCTTCCCAACAAATAAAATTGCATGCTTCACTGGTGAAGTCTTCCAAACTTCATCAGATTATTAAAGGATAAAATAATACCAGTTCTTTATAAACTCCCAAAACATTGAAGAGGAGGAAGTACTTCCCAACTCATTTTATCAGACCAGATTTTCCTAACCAAAACCAAGGAAAAACATTACAAAAAGAGAAAACTACAGAACTATGTTTCATGAATATAGAAGAAAAAATTTTAAACAAAATTTTATCAAATCATCTGGGTGTGCTGGTAAGTGCCTGTAATTCCACCCAACTACTCAGGAAGCTGAGGTGGGAGGATCATCCGAGCCCAAGAGTTCAAGTCCCGCCTGGGAAACATAGTAAGACCTTTTCACTTAAAAAAA